GTTCACGTACCCCTTCCGGAAATCGATTCGGCGAAAAGTGAGCTCAGAGAACTTCCCGGTCGTCTTTCCGGGCGGAACGTGCTCGCGACCACGAGCCGACCTTTTTCGTCCCGCGGACATAATTTCCCCGACGCCTCCTCCCTCTTTGTCCGGGCGTCCTCTTTGATCCTCCCAATCCGGCGAGCCCCCATCGCCGAAAACTCGAACCGGCGGCGGCCCGTTCTTTTTCGAAGTTCCGGAATTCCCGCGTAACGTCATCCGCCGACGCGCTCTCCATTCCGGGGTTAACGGCGCACCGTTGAATCGCGTACATCGGGCGGAGATCGCGGGCAGCTGGCGTAACGGCCGCTTTTGGACCATGACGAAATATTAGGTCCTGCGAGGCGAGTGTCTATGATGTTCCGTTTCGATTGACGTGCGGGCAAAACCCATCCGCATTGCGGATCGGCGGGACGCGAGGCTGCGAGCTTAGTTTCCGAACGAACAGCGGAAAAATTCAGAAGTGAATCATTATTCGGTGTAGCGCGGGGATTAATCTGTTGTTTTATAATAAAGACCTGGGACTCACGGTGGAAATTTCCATCTCGATTTAATAAACGCCCATTATCGTTCGCGCTTTGTATGCAGATGCGAGTGAAAGACAAAAGTCTCGTACGTAGTTTCTAGGAAAATTTCACGTTACTCGAGACTTTTCGAGTATTTCGTGTTGTTCATGAAAATCCATGAGAACGTACGATTGTATAGAGCTTTATATAACAGTTAGCCTATCGGTCGGTCAGTTGAGTTCGCTGTGAGACGTTCCTGCGCGAAGAAATCCTCGGGAAGTCGATTCCGCCGGCGAACGATCATCGAGTTCGCGGTTCTCTCGCGTAGAATCAATGCACCTATTTCCAGTCTAGCAAAAACTACGCCATCGGGGCTCGCGTGTCCGATGAAATGCACCGATTAGACCGTAGTACGTGCATACCCGTGACGTACACCCGATCGACCCGGCCTAGGAGACGTAAACGCGGCTCGCGTTCAATTGCCGCGTGAATGGGGGATGGAAATCGATCTGTTCTATCAACTTTGATTCAACAAGAATCGTACGTAACTGCGACGAGCAACCTTTAGCACGCCCAACGTTCGGAACATTCGTCCGCGGAACGATAATCATAATCGCTGCTTTGCATAAGTAACATTCTCGTTAACATATTTCGATAATAATATCTATAACTATCCAACCATTGGTAGTGTACTTCCCCATAGACGTTACTAATATTACGTAACAGTGTGTATTATCCCTGATTCCTTAGAAAAATAGGAAAATTCTATACTTATCCTACGTTAATCAGGAGAATTAGAATAGATAAACAATATTCAATTTGAACTTGAAAGAATATTCGTTAAATTCTTTATCAAGAATCTGACGAATCATAGGGCAAGGGGTTATCTTCAATATCGTCTGACAAAAATCCGAAATCACCCGATGGCGCAACCCTTATCTCCTAGATTCCGTGCTCCGACCGTCTGATCGATTCCCGGTCTCGAAGGGTCGACGAATCGTCGCCAGGGAATTCGACGAGGAAAACTCTGTCTGGCCGCGCGACGAGGACGGAGGAGAGCCGGGGTAATCTCGTCGGTCTCGGAATACGCGCGGCGGAATTTGAACGCGTCTCGGTGCGCGCGTGAATCTTCTCTCTCTCCGTCGGTGCGTGCGTGAGCGTTACATCACACGCGCGGCTCGCGCGATGAGACACAGAGGCCCCTTTTCAAAGCAGATGTTTTTGATATTTAAAAATACCTGCGGTACTATTTGCGTGTGTCGTGATATTCTCGGCTCGATCCGGCTCTCGGGAAACCCCACAGCGGCGTGGAAGTCG